GGCGGTTTTGGTAGACCTCTTGGTCAATGATCCAAGCTAAGGTTGAAGGAGGTTTTGGTTGGTTCTTGATCTCTCTCTGGACGGCGATTGCAAGGCGTGGAAGGCTGTTCCTGAGCCTAGTGGATTCGGCCAGCAAGAGGAGAAGAACAACCTCTGAACGAGGAGGAGCACGGTGTCAGGGAAGTGTAGTTCTATTCTTTATGCTTTCGATTTTGTCTCCTATTTATGCTTTATGATTCTGATTTCAGTTTATAGTCTTTATGTATATCTGTAAATGCTATGGTACATATTGATATGCTGAGGTTCTGAGTTCTATGGTTTATGTACATTCTGAAAATGTTAATGTATGCTGCTTTTGTGTTGATTGCTGAACTCTGTTAGACTAACTTCGTGTCTGAATATGGCTGTTTATTCCCAACATTTTTTTTTTAATATCTTTATGTTGGTTTTATATTTTTATGAATTGGTGGAGTTGAAATTACCGTCTGGTTTGTAATTTTATGACATCATTTTTGGCCACGAATATAATTTTAAGAAAATATTAGTATTGCCGACTTGCCTTTATGCGACTTTACAAGAAAGATTAAACGTATTTTAAATGTATTTCTTGGTGACTAGTTTGAGTAATTCATTGAATGAGCTATACCGGAAATAATTACATATTTTGCATAAAATTTGTTAGATCCTGGATATGAGCGACGACTGTTGTATGAGCACCGCTTGTTCCGTCCAAAAGCTCGGGGAGAGTACTTGTCGGGCGTTTATCGTAAGGGAAAACTAAGGTAATGTCGATTTTGAAATGTAATTGATATTCGAGGCATGTTATTGAATGGAACTGTAAAATATGTAATTTAAATTAATTAGTTGTAGTGAACGTGCATTGCACGTTATTCTCATTTTTCTTTTTCTTTTTTTCTTTTTTTTTCTTTTTTTTTTTTGGTTGAAAATGCAATTTGCAATAATGTTACGATGGAAAATGTGTGGTTAAAAAAAAAAATTTGGATTTGTGTGTAATATTATTTTATTGAAGAATGTATAATTATAATAGTTGAAATTACTTTTCAAAAATGCATTTTGATAGAACAAATGAGGTTCAATTGCACGAAATTGGTGGACCTTGCTCTTCTTTCACTTCAGCCACATGAATCCCATAACCTCATTGAGCGTCACCTCAACAATGTCGTCCAAGGGAAGCAGACCCTTATTCTAAGGTTATAATCTTATATCAATCTCAAGTCGAGGTTTCTAGGATTCTAAAGTTTGATAATACATTTTTTCTTAACTGAATTTTAATTTAGATTTTTCAAAAATTATACTACATCACCTTAGATGCACTTTATATATAAAAAATAGGCATCACGAAATTATATCTTATGGTCCGTTTGATTGCAAAGAAATGTTTTGCTGGAATTGAATTGCCTATAATTTGTTTAACTGGGAATTATAATTAATTGTGTTTGATTGGTATAATTTTCCACCTGAAAAATGTTGAAAGTTTGGTGTCCGTTTTACTTCTTTTTTATCAAAATTGTTCATTAAAGTGATAATTTTTTCTACCATTGTGTCTAGAATTTGTTCAAATTACCAAAAAGTAAAAAAATAATAATAATAAATAAATAAATTGGAAAAAATTACCATACCGAATAACA